CACATGTTTCTAAAGCAGTGGTTCTTAATTTTATTTTCCTTCAATATTCATAAATTATTGGACATCAAGTGCCAGAAAGTTCAATTATAGACTTATATATACTAAGGAAAATAGTTATAGTCCCAAAGGACGAAAAATTTTAAGATATCCTTAAATATAGCCTAGTAGGTAGTGAGAATATTGATGTTATATTGGTTAGGGCAAGCCATGATATCTGAGGGGTATGGACCATTTGGGAAACTGTTGTCCATTCCTAAGGGAATGGTCAAGAAGCCCATCATCTGCAAAAATACTTTGTCAATAATATGCTGGGGATATGGAGAATGACTACAAGAATTATTATTATTATTTTTCATTCATTGCAGCTCTGCCCAAAGGGCATTATTCAGTCCACTCAGTAGGCTTCAGTAGCAATCAGAGGCGAATGCTGAAGAGAGTGGAACAGAAATGTGTAGGACAATGTATGTGGGAAGGGGGAGGTAAATAGAGCTGGGTGAAAGAGAGCATAAGGTAATTGGCTTCGCTTGTTCTGTTGAACTACAGGTCCTCAGAAACAACCCAGAGCTCTCTGGATGTATACTGACTTGGATTCAGGAATAGCTACAAGGTTGATCTTGAGTTGATGTAGAAAAACAAAGGCAGGGAAACAAAACCACACATTCCCATACCATTCCCAGTGCTGTTCCATGCACAACCTTGACCTCAAGCAACCCTCTTTCTGCCAGGGATTATTCACCATGTGAAAGATACAAGTAATTCTTTAAAAGGCAGGGCATGATTATAAAATGAGTGGAGGGTACTTTGAAATTGCTACTGTGAAAGGATGACTGCTTATGCCAAGATGATAGTTTTGAAAATAAATTTTGACAATTCATTCTCTATAAGGTAGTTTTTATAATATTACTTAGATATCTGTTTACTTTCTTCAGAAGGAAGGGAACAAGCATATTTGATGCTATAAACAGCTCTAAATATTACTACAAGATAGGGACAAGCACAAATTATTCCATTAATAGATGCTCTGCCTCTGATCAGTAATTTTTCCTTTTAGATCCTCTGACTTTTGAAAGGAAAGACTACAGATATAAAGTTTGTAGCTTTCTAACATGTTACTGTAAAATTATTAAACCATGGGCTTCATAGCCTTTCTCATTTGCTCTTGTCACCTTAATTTCTTCCACACTATTCTGTCAAGGAAAAGGGTAAAAGCTTCTCAGGTGAATTCTTGAGAAAAAAGCAATTAGGGTGGAATAAAAGCCATGGGGACCTTGTGGATGAGAGAGTGATGTTAGTACAGATGTGAGAGAAAGCTGGGAGTTTGCAGATCCTGGAGAAACAGAGAGTCTAATAAAAGAGACTGTGGGCTATGCACGGAAGTTCTTTTACATGACTGAAAAACATGTAAGAGGAAAGTTGGTAATTCTACCTTATGTTGCATTTCCTTAATCCAGTATCACTCTGGGACAGATCTCTCGCCTTGCGACCTTAGAAGATGGAGAAGCTCTGTCTCATGGAGAGATATGCCACAATTTTGTAAGCGCAAAAACAAAGCATTCTTTAGCTAATGTTTCTGTCCTTTACTTGCTATACCACTGCACCAAACAGTCCCAGTTCTCTGGCACTCTGTGGAGAGTAGTGGGGTAAGTAGGTGACCAGGGAAAGTTGTTCTGGCTGTTGCCAGTATAAGAATGTTGATAAGGTTCAGGCATAATACTCTTAAAGCATTGTTCCATTGTTTCTCCCAGGAAAAAAAAAGAGCAAAAAGCAGTAGCACATACATCTTTGTCAGAAACAAGGATAGCAAATCAGTCACAGAACTTCCATTTGGTCTCTAAGAGATTAGACTTGAGAACTAAATCAAGGTGTCAGTCTCACATATAAAGCACACAGCTCCTATCATGCATATGGCAAGGCTATCACAGAGTTTGCATTCCACTGTATTCCTGCACACCTCACTAAATCATCTCTCTGTCTTTGTCTCTGTCTCTGTCTCTCTCTCTCTCTCACACACACACACATACACACCTCTCATCCTGATTGACCTCTGGGTCCTTTTTGATTTTTTGACGTTTTCTCATCTTAAAGTTCTTTCATTAATGTTTTCCAAAGATAATGAGCATGTGCAACCTCAAAAATACTCACAAGGAATTGTGTTATCTGCTTTTGTTCAAAAAGAAAGGTAGAGCCATTGCACAGTGAGACAGCTTTGTGGCTAGGCTTTGGCACTGAAGTATGTAAACCTTTCACCACAAGAAGTCCGGACTCTGGGAAAAACTGTCTTTTCCATCTACGTGTGTTGCTTCAAAGTTCATCCTTTGGCCTGGTCGCTTGGCTCTTGTTTAGGAAAAGAGGAACTGCTTTCAAGATAGAATCAAGATACACCCCAAATTGTTCAAGAAAAAAGCTGAGGGTGTGGGTATATTTTGAGATTACTTGTGTACTGTTAATCTTGTATACATTTTACACTATTCAAGCTAGCCCATCATGAGCAGATTGTGAACCTGAGCTCAACCAATCAGAGTAGGAGCAGGGCTTCCTGCTTTAAGGTTCAATAGGGGAGAAGATTGCCTGAGTTCGTTTGCCAGATTTTTAGCTGATGGAACACCCTTCTGCAGAAATAGATTTTTTGCCTTGTTGAGACAATTATCTTTCTGTCTATTGTTGTGACTCCAGTAGTTCTTAGAGAGCATATTTATAAGACAACATCCTATTCCATGAATATAGACTCACTTTGTGGTCTCTTTCCATTAGGACTTTTTTTCCCCCTCTCAATATTAAAGCAGGCCCAAGTCTCTTAAGATATATCTAAAATAGCCGGGCGCTGGTGGCTCATGCCTGTAATCCTAACTACTCAGGAGGCTGAGATCTGAGGATCATGGTTCAAAGCCAGCCTGAGCAGTAAAGTCTGTGAGACACTTGTCTCCAATAAACCATTAGAAAACCAGAAGTGGCGCTCAAGCGGTAGCATGCTCACCTTGAGCTGAAGAGCTCAAGCCCCACGAAGGACAATATATATATATACAAACAAGAAAATTTTCCTTTATTTTTTCTTTACTGTTGGATACAGGCTTCTGGACACAAAATCAGTCCTATGGATAGTTCTTTCTGACATCAAATTCACTTGCTCTGTACTGATGTCTTTTACAACTTTATTGAAAATGTACTTGAAAACACTTCACTGGTAAATCTCATAGACATACTTTGTATTACTTAAGGTTTGTGAAGCATGGGTCATTATTATTCATGGAACTCTTCGTTTTTCGCCTTAATGTGGTACCCTTTCGATTGACCTCATTACTAGTTTGGCTCTTCTTTCTTAATGACTTGATAGTTCATGTCTTAAATCTTGGTATCCTAGGGGATTGCATAATTTTCCTCTGGTTAATTCCACTCTTTATGGTCTTCATATGGTATCTTATGATGCTAGTTGCTACAATCTCTATGTTGTTGATCTTTTACATTTGAGCCCAGATCTTTTTCCAAGGTTCAACTTACGAGCCCATTTTCCTATTACATATCTCTACTTAACAGTCCTTCAGGAAATTTGGTTTTCATGCTCAAAATAGTCTCCATTTGACTCCAAAACATGTCATTCTTCCTCTCTTAGTGACTAAATCATTGGCTGACATGTCTAAGAAAGAAACCTGACAAATATCCTTGGTTCTTTTCTCTCATCTTCCTTCAATATTCTACCACTGCCCAAGATATATCTTTTTTTTTCTGTCCAATTCATTCTCTTCTCTTCTGACCTCAACCTTGTTGTCATTTTATAACTTAAGCCCTTATCTTCAGCTTGGCTTGTTAAAAGAAAAACAAAACAAAACGAAAAGACCCAAATAACTATTACTTTTTCCAGGCTTGTTTCTGTAAACAATTTTACATTCACAGTCTAAGTTAACTCGAGAATGGTCTTGCAGGATCATGTCCATTTTCTTGCTTAGAATACTTCAATGGTATCTATTACTTTAGTGATAAAATCCAAAATGCCATTCTCTCCTGCCCCCTACTCCCTTACTGCTTCCTGTGTTGGATTGCTTTAGGGAAGATGGGCTAGAGTAATAGTTTAATCTCTAGCTATTTCATGCTTGGCTTCACTTTACTGAGGCTGCCAATTAGTGATTTAGAGGTGAATTCTTATGTGCTCTGCTATGAACAGAGGCTTGTTTTAAGTAGTCCTTGAAGAGCCTCAATCTCCTTGTCACTAAAACCCTGCACTGACTTAACCTGTGACCTGAAGTTGAATGTCTGTATATCCTCTTGGTCATCTGCTAAGTCAGTAAATTGAGTTTTGGAATGATTTTAGTTAATGCTAATTTAACCTAAAAGAAGAAATATACTTTCAACTTAATGATATTTTAGATGTAATATTTCTAGATATAGATAACAATCTTTTTTCTTTGACTCTTCCCTTGATAATTGCTTTTCAGAGAAAGGTTAGTAGATCTCAGTTCTCCTGAGTTTTATAAAATGGTGTATGAGTGTCTTCATTTTCCTGCCTTGTCATCTGTCTGATTCTGGTTTTAGGAAAGGAAAGAACCCACAGCTAGGTGTGATCATATCAGCAGGAAACTTCCTTCCTCCTGGCTGATTCACAAATTACCTCTGTCTTCTTTGCCATTTCAAATAGAGGGTCAGAACATTGAACAAAAAAATTAAGGGACCATGTACATATATGCTCTCTCTCTCTCTTTCTCTCTCCCATAAATATATACACACATTCTACTTATAAGGATCAGCAAAGAAAAATACATAAATTTTGGTGTCATAGAGGAAAAACAAAGTAATTAATTTTAAATATTATCTTTGAAAAAATAAAAGAAGGTGTTTTCTTGTGAAAAAAGTCTGTACTTTTAAAAATATTAAGCATTTTTTTCTGTTATATAAGGCTAACAACTAGACAGTTACCAAGGCAAACTCCCCACTATAACAGCTACTTTTGTTTGTAGCCTGAAAGAAATTATGATTGTCAAGGGGGAAAAAATCAACATTATGCATCTTACACAAGGATGTCCTCTACCAGGGTGTGAAGGGCACTGGGATTTCGGATCAGTTTGTCAAGGAAGCTGACAATGTCAGTAAATTTCGGTCTGTGATTTCTCTCCTTCTGCCAGCAATGGAGCATCAGCTGGTGTAAAGACGCTGGGCAGCCCATGGGAGCTGGTAGTCTGTAACCTTCCTCAATGGACAGAATGACCTAAATACAAATACACAAAGATTATAGTTTTATTTTTGGAGGACAAAGAAACCATATATTAAGTAATGCATGTTTTTGTATTTCAGTAATAGAAGGTAAATTATTGATAAGCATGGAAACTCCTTGTGATAAGTACACAGAGTCTAAATAGAAGTAAATACCAGAGTTCTGAACAAGAACTAAAAGTATCCCCACAGTACCTGCTGACCCCTGGGAGAGGAAAACATATTTTAAACATGCACTGCTCAAGAAGCAGTTTTGTGTGATCTAGTTGGAGTATCTCAAGACCCAATATGAACATCAGAAAATTACTGGATATTGGCACATGTAGTACTAACTATATGTGACAGATGTTTCAAAGTAAATGAAAATTTAAGTAATATTCTGCTATGACATGACATTTTTATCCTTTTTAATTTTGAGGAACATGTTCATGGTGTTGAGGATTGCCTTCTTTAATAAGATCAATACATGTTATTTTCTAGCCTTCATTGTGTACTTAATTCTTTCTTAATTTATTATCATATACTTAGTCTGATATTGACCTAAAAAATCATTTCCCCCCAGACTCCAAGGTCCTTAATACTTGAAAGGACAGCAATGGCTGGCATAGTTTAGTAAACAAAAGGACTATTCAGCCTGAGAATCTAGGTTTGCTAGCTGAGGAAACAGAACGATTGCAAGCTGAGGCCTTACAGTTAATCTCCAATACTGGAAAAGAATGTACATCTCTTAAGGTTATGACTGATTGTGCATGGCCTAAGGTTAGGCATTCTGTAAAGTGGAAAAGTGTTTATAACAATCATATTTGCTTTACTTTTAAGATGAACTCATACACAGCATGGAGTCAAGAGGAAGTTTGTAATGATCCTAGCCAGAAATCTACATGGTCTTAGTTGAGGTAACAGTCGTGGTGTACAAAAAGCAGATTAATTCAGTGCTTCAGCAGACATACAGAAGTGGAAGGAGATTAGAGGTGACAGGGAAGGAAGAGACAACAATAATGATTGGGGTTTTTGTTTTTTGCTTCATAAAACAGGGTGATGGGATAATAATAGGTCCATTTTTATGAGCTTTTGGAGTTTAGATTGAAGCATTATGTGTATATAGCTTGGAATTCTTACTAAATGCCAAGTAATGGCTTGTTTTTAAGAATTGCTTATTCAAGTCTTAGAATATTTATTATGTGAGTATAGTTTTTACACATTTTATTGATAGGAGAATTGAAACTTAAACTGATGAACAGATTGGGGCAGTATTGTGTAGCAAATATTCTCTAGAGCATAGACTGATGTCATCACAGTAGCCTCTGAACCACACTAGTTGTAGAGACTGTCTCTCCAGAAGACATGACATCTTCAACTCAATTGCCTGAATTAGATTGAGAGCCCTCTTTTCTGGGTTCTTTGTTTGTAACATCTGTCGCTTTCTTTCCAGATTTCTGTATTTATCATCCAGAGGATATATCACTTCATAGAGGGACATTAGACGTATTTGTGCAAAACCAAGCCTAAGACTCTTCTTTGGGGTTTTCTCTCCTTTGCAAAGAGGATCATCATTCTCTCCTTTTCAGGAGACCTACTGGAAGATCTCTGGGCCTCTGAGTTCCCTGTTACCCAAAGTTAACTTAAAGTCATGCTGTGCCTACCATCTTACTATATTTTAAATCTGGCCACTTACAATCCTCTTTCTAAATGACAGAGGTCTCATTTTTATTACTGCACAGCCTGGTCTTTCAGCCTCATCTTTTCCTCTTGCAACTATCCTTTTCACTATAGTGGAAAAACCTCACTGCAGTGGGTCTGTGACCACGTTTCTCCATATCTGAAATTCTCCTGTGGCCCTCCATCACGTTGACTCTCAGCCCACTCCTCTGTGGCCCTCAGCCCTCTTCTCTGTGACCTGTCCTCTTTGACCCTTTGCTTTGGGCATTACAGAACACTTGCTGTCTCTCATCTGGTTGAACTGAGTTCTTGAAAAATTTCCCCCCATAAACTCCCAAGCATGATGTCTTGTCAAGCCAAACAATGACCCATTGTCAGATATGTAACTTATAAAAGCTGTATTTTAAAAGTAGCTTGAGAAAAACTACATTAACCTTTATCTTCATAAACATTTCTTTTGTGGAAATTTATGCTTTATATCTGCTTTCTGATTCCTTAATTAAGGACTGACAGGGAACAGCATATGGGTGCTTTGTCTAAAAGACTAATTGAGGTTAGTTGTTTTAGGAGATGAAAGGGTGATAATTAACTGGAGAGAATTTTGTAACAGTTTGGTCTTATGATATTCATAGGCTGTCATCCTCTGGCAGATTAGTTATATAAGGTTATATCCTTATCCAACCATGTAAGAGAAAAAATTAAAATAAACAGAAAAATCTAAAAGTGACTGCAATAATTTCCATCTGGAGGCAGAAGAAATTAGATTCTGTCAGAAATTATTATCTAAAACCTGGCTGGTTGTTCTAAATAGACCATACTACATTCCTTATCAACACTGCAATTTTTAGCAGCTCAGAATCAACATGGGGCATGCTGCTTGCTTCTGTGCTTTTGGTGAATCTGATGAGTTTTCCAATTGTGTTGATTGTGTCTGAATCTAAACAGGCAATGCATATCTTTTGTTAAATGAGCAAACAAGGATTAGACAGTTATTATGAAAATATTGAGATATTCCTGAGCTAAACTAATGAACTAGGATTGCTTGGACTGTATAGTGTGCCACATTTTTGCTATAAGCCTGTTCAATATTTCCCCCAAAGGGTTCATATTAAATTGAGTCATTTATTGTTACTGTGAAATGAAACTGACTCAATTTTTTTCCAGGATTGCAATGAATAACTAAGTGGATTATTAAGTTACTTTACTATTAAAAAATCTTCCTTCTAAGTATTTAGTGTGGTTGTTTGGAAAACATAAGAATTAAGATTGAAGGAGGAAGCCAAGGCAAAGGATCCTAGTAGGCATTTGCTTTTTTTTGATAATATGAATTAGCATATTTAGATTCATGATACTGTAACATAGAAAATGTATTTTCTTGGTGTGCATGTAAATGTCATATCTACATGGAAAAGCAAGGAAGAAAAGATAGGAGGAAGAACAAAGGAAGGAAAAAGTGGTGATTAATAAGCAACATTTAAATGAACTCACTTCTCATTTAATTTCTTTTTTCCTTCCTCCCTTTCTCCTTCCCTCCTCCTCATTTCTTTCCTCCCTCCTTCCCTTCCTCTCTCCCTTCCTTCTCTCTTTCCTCTCTTCCTTCCTCTCTTCTCTTTTATTTCTCATTCTTTTTGACATCGCACTAGGGGTTTGAACTCAGGATTTTATGCTTGCTAGGCAAGAAATTTGCCACTGAGCCAGAATTCTAACCTTAAACAAATTTCAAATAGTTGTACAGGTGTTTGAATTTAACATACCCATTAATGTTATATGATGTATCTTGATCAGGATCTTCCCTACATCTTTCTCCCTCCCATTCTCACATCTATCCCATCACCATCAATTTCCTAGTTTCCTAGCTCTATTTTCAAATGTGTGCACTGAATAATTTAACTGGATTCACTATCATTCTTTTCTCTATTCTTTGCCCTTCTCCTTTTAGCTTCTATCCAAGACATATTTCAATTTCTTGGTATTCATTTTGTTAAACTTTTAATTGTTCAAAGTGGTTACATCATGAAAATCTACCACCAAATATACCATATTTAGTCAGTTTATATATATACACATATATGTACATATATATGCATATGGCCCTATATGTGTTTTCATATATAATCATATGTTAGGTCTCCCTCTCACAAGTGAGAGAAAAGATATGTCCTTTGGCTCTCTGAGCCTTAGTTACTGCACTCAATATGATTTTTATTTCCAGGACTATATAATTCCTTGCAAATGACATTCTTCCTGATGGATGAATTTAATTAGATTATAAACATCAGATTTTTAAAATCAATTTGCTGGTTTGCGAAGCCTATGCTGCGTCCATAACTTGCCTATTATGAATAGTTCTCCAATGAACATGAGTGTGCAGGTACCTTTATTATATCTTGACTTGCAATCTTTTGGATAAATTCCTAAGAGTGATATCTCCGTCCCTGTTTTTCACTTTTTTTGGATAAATTCTCTCTTTCCTAGGCTTCTTGTAGTTGCTGGGATTACAGGTGACACCACTGCATCTAACTGGTCTTAGTTAAAACAGAGAATCTAACTGACTATTTTCTGCCCTGATTTGTCTGGAAACACAGACTTCCTTTTTTCAGCTTCCGATACAGCCTGGCATGAAAGGCATCCACCACAGTGTTCAGTTACGAGCTTAAAAGGTATCTTTAGAACTTCTCAGACCAGGGATGTCATTGAACTGTGATCCTCCTATTTTCACCCTCCCATGTATTTAGGATTACCGGTGTGACTTTCACACTGGATTCACATTTAATAAAATTTTAATCTACATAATTTATAATATATTAAAATTAATCAGTCGAGAAAGGAATACAAATGATAGCAAAAGAAGATAAGGTGATGAAGGAATAAGATATAGAAAGAAGATATTTCTTCAAAAATAAATTTGCTATATGGTTTCACATTTAGAGTTAAATTTTAAGTTAGAAAATTAAAAAAAAGAAAAAAATATGAAACAGTGTATTTGTTCCTTTCAGATTGTTCAAGGAGTGGATGAAATGGTGAAGTGTATAAGAGTATCATATGTTAAAAGGTTGTTGGTGATCTGATTTATCATTTGGAAAAATCTTAATTTTTTTTATACTTCTTTCTTTCTTTTGAACCCCTTAATTTTTAACAAATGAAAGCTATACTTTTTGAGATAAAGTTAACTAACATTTTTTCTGTAGACTAGACTAAGTTTGTAAGAGTATTTGAGAAGAAGCTGCTTAGACTACCCTGAAAACCTAAACAGTTACTAATGGCTGTATTGAGTAAGTATCTGTCTCCTCACCATAAGGAAAATAAGGACTGGATTCTTCTGTAATTGTACCTTTT